ATCCAGGATGACTGTTTGTAATCACTTTTTTCTCCTCCAAGTGCTTAGAAATGTATTCCTTGAGGAACTGCTCCATGATTTTTTCCAAGGACTGAGGTGAGGCTGACTATCCTGTAGTTCCCTTGATCTTCCTTTTCTCCTTTCTTAAATATGGGCAGTAGGTTTGCCCTTTTCCAATCATCCAGGACCTCTCCTGATTGCCATCAGTTTTCGAAGATGATGGTCATTGGCTCTGTAATCACATCAGCCTCTGGCTTCTTTACTATTCATGCCATCCAGGAAGAGCTCACACCAACTGCAGAGGCTTCCTCAGCCTGATGAAGGGTATTTAAAATTTGAAAGCTTGCTAAGAAGAATTTTTCCAACTGTTTGAGTTGGTCTAAGAAAAGATATCAGATTTACCCAAAGAGCCTTGTCTGTCATGGTGTGCTTGAGAATCTGAAGAGAGGCACCTCATTTTTGCTTTATCAGTCAGCAAAACTTCTTAAATGCATACTGCCCACCCTAAAGTGCACAACAACATATAAAAGGACCTCTCCAGTTTTGCCACAGGCTGAAATGTAAATTATTGCTTCAGTGAAACAAATTATTGTGAGGTGAAAACGTGATACTTCCTTTTCTAAGCCACTATAGTTCAAGGCTGTGGCTGATATTGATAGTGACATTACTAGGAATTTTAACATTTGTAAGAGTTCATATAAAAACTTAATTACTGTTCTCACAAGAATAAACATATAAGAAAACCCCCAAATGCTTACCATCACCAGTGTCAAATTTCTTAACAGGTACAAAGTTTGTCCCAAATAAGAAGATAGCTATTGCAGAAGAGGTAAAGCCGATAGTTAGATCGGTTTCATTGCTGTTTACGAAGTTGGTCATCTCTGTCTTGAGGGTGCTACCCTTTGTGGCACTATGTTGATGAAGTTCCTTTCAGATACCTTCTGGAACCAGAGTCTGGAATTGAAAAATAGAAAAGGTTAAAGGACCACACCATAGGGTTCTTAATATAGCTTAATTTTTTTTTACATTAATAGCAGGAAGGTTTAAAAGATCCCACTTTTACACCTCCTAAAAGGCAAAAAAGTAAGGAATAATGTAGGACAAAGTGAATGGCCACCTTAAAATGTAAATACAGTGGAAATTAATGGAACACAATAAATATTTCACCTAAAAGGAACTTTCTGGAGAAGAACATTAAGAAATATAATACACGAGTCATTAGAGAACAGACGGCCATCATCCAGAATTATGAAAGCTTAAGGGAAGGCCCTTAAGCTTTCATATTATCAGGCTTAAAGGAAGGCCTGTTGCTTTTTAAGAGGAGAGCGCCCTCATTAGGCTGTTGCTGGTTCTGGAATGTTGCTATTGGAAGCAGGTTGAAAACAAACGGGTTGGATCCTCTTTGTGTTTGCATGATGACAAGGGTTAGGCAGTTATGTGTAGCTTTCTTCTCTGGGTGAAAGAAACCTTGGTATCGTGGCTCTAATTGACTCAAGCCCAGAAGCCCAGGTTCTGTGGTCCCACAGAGCGAGGACTGAAACACAGAGCTGCCATATGGATTACTCTAGATGTTATAACCCATGGAAGTGAGGGAAAAGACCCCTGATTTTTTTTCTGCGAAGGATTGTGGGGAGGGAGGAAGGAACCCTGTCAAGTTTCTTCTTTCAATCCCTATGGAAAGGGGGGGGGGGGGGGGGGGGGGGTAGAAGAAAACTCTGTGACAAAGCTTGCAGAATTTTATTTCATATCATAGTCTCATGCAAATAGGATTTCCCCAAGGGAAAAACTATTTTAGGCCTAGTAATGGAAAAAAATCTTTTGAACCACCATCCTGGTATTAGCAAGTAAGTGAATTTCACATTCTTTTGTAGATTTTAGATACAGTGTACCGCAGAGCTTTTTACTGTTTTTTTCCTCTTTATTTTTTTTCATAATGATCTAGTATTTATCCATTTTTCCCTTTATCTTTGTAATTATCTAGTATTTATTTGTTTGCTATCACATTCATTATTGAAATTATGTTTAATGTAGACAGCGGCACATAAGGCATTTAAATACTCTGGAAATACCATCTTAGAGGACTACATGCAAAAATCAGTTACTGGGAGTTTATCAGGAAATAGCTCCAGATGGCAACAAAATGTAAAACAAAATGTAAAACATTTTGTTTATATGAAATGACGGTCTGCAATGCTAGAATTTTGATGTGTAAAGATCTCCAAAACCATCATTATGTAGTAATTATAAAGGAAGTTCTTTGATGTGAAATTCATGTGATGCTATTATATACTTGTATGCTTAATAATATTCCAGTGCAGTCTGAGATCTTCAGACTTAGATATAAAATACTTCTAGTACAAAGTAAAACACATTTATAACAGTGGTCATAAATATCCCCCAATTTGCCAAGAGTAGGTACAAAAATAAAAGTGACTAGTGTCTCAGAGGTGTTAAGGGATGTGAAAATCAGGTTAACTTTGGAGACTAAACAGTGGATGAAATTTTGACCAGCTCCCTCAATAGCCACTCCTACGCTAGATTATGGCAGTGCTGTACATGCTTCTTGACTATTCCTAGTGGTTAAAGGAGATGCCGACTGAAACAGGAAATTCTTGCCCGACTAGGTAAGTGAGAGGAGGTTCACTCTGCTGTTAATGGACAAGAAGAGCTGTGTTCCCTGAAATCTATCCATTTTACTTTAACCCCTTACCTTGCTTTCCTTATTTTTCAGTGTAAGTTCTCCTGGTATGGCATTATCAACAGTTTCAGTAGGTTTTGGCTGAAACGACCTATTAGTATTAGCAGGCGAAAAGTTTAGTCCTCACATGTAGTACAGTTCATTTAATCACCTAGATTTTTTTTTCCTCTTTGGAGGATTCTCAGTTTATTTTTCTTTTAGAAAAATACAGGAGCCCCCTTAGGTTTGGAGTACCCCACTGTGAGAAGAGTTATCCACCAGGTCACTGTACTCAAGTCTCCTTCTCTCACCCTTATTGTTTTTACTATTTTTGTAAAAATAATAACAATAAAAATAATAATAATAAAAATAATACTAGTAATAATAATAAAACAATTAAAATGATAATAATAAAAATAAAAATGATAAATCATTGCAACAGCTTCAGAGTATCACAGCTCTGCAAGTTGAGAAACACTAAGCATGAAGTGTCAGCTGAAGGATAAGGCAGGTCTATTTACTCAGTGAGTCAACATGCTAATCTTTACAGACTAGGGATAGACATTACACATAAACCGGTGATCAGAAACCGGTTTAAACCTGTAACAGAACAGATGTTCATTGCACATAAACCAGTTTGAAAATGGCTGAAACCGATTTATTTGAGGACTCCTTGGTTGATTGATACATGTAAATTAGAAGCTTTCTTAAATCTTAATTGAAGTGAGGACATTGGATAAACCTGGTTGAATGTAGTATCAGACTTAACTGATTTGGGTCAAACCGGTTTAAGCAATGCCTGTCCCAGACATATAAGTGGGAAAATGGCTTTTGCACAAGAAAGAACATTGTTGTTAGGAACATTCAGACAATAATTATTATTCTGCTTATTTTGCAGATTTATTTCTGTAGCCCTTAGCTGGGTAAATCACTAGTGCTTTAAGTGTCTTTCAAAGGAATAAAATAATCTTATGCCCTTTTTAACTTTCTTATGGTGCCTTAAGGAGCCCCCAAATGCTTTGCATATTTCTGCCAAGGGGAAAAAGCATGTGACAGGCGGACAGAGAGACTTCGCTTTGATACTTCCTCTTGTATTTTGCGTTCTGGAGCATTTGATATGACTGGGGAACTATCTCAAGTAGTGAAAACCTCTGATTACCGAGAAGTGGTTCTTATTTATACTGTTTAAAACTCCATATTTTTCTTAACAGCTATGTAGCTAAGACACTCAAAGGAAAACATGCTGTAATACACAATGTCGTCACTTCAATTAAGGTTTGAGAAAGCTTCTAATTTAATTGTATTAATCAACCAAGAAGTCCTCCATGATCAAGACAAAACTTGATATTTTTGTTAATTTTAAGAGGAAAAGGCTACAGAAAATTGAGAGCACAGGAGGGAGAGGTTGTTGAAGGGGTGGGAAAACCTTTCAGACTCCCTGTTTATAGTCTGAAAGAATGAAGAAAGATGAAAGATATTTTTCCCTCTACGAGTCAATCTTAAGTAAGGGCTAAATTAACAGATCAACGACTACTGATGCAATATAAACACTACCAGAAGTTATGAAATTTACAGTCATTCAGGAACACTCAAAATCAGCAGATTCCAAATTTGACATAAATACTCAAAACTCTGTTTGCAAAGTCCAAACAATTTTGCATACTTGCTCTTTCCTTCAAAATACTTGGTTTTCTAACATATTTAGCCTACATCTACATCCCAAGATAGAAGCAGGTTGCTGAATTCACATGGCACCCTATAGCGTTGTGCTGCATCCTCTGATGAGATGAAAAAAGATGCTGCCTGGTGCTGATCCAGAATCAGCTTGTCTTGACAAAGTTACATTACAGGATTCTTAGGGACATAGACCTAAGGCAGGGGCGGGCAATTATTTTGGGCAGAGGGTCGCTCACTCAGTTTTGGCAAGCCATCAAGGGCTGCATGACAGGCAGCCAGGGGCACATAAATATGAATTTTCTAAAATGTTTAGAGGCCCTGCGGGCTGGATAGAATGGCCTGGTGGGCCGCATCTGGCTTGCAGGCCGCATTTTGCCCACCCCTGCCCTAGGGGCTATGGGCAGACATTACATATAAACCAGTTTAAGTGATCAGAAGCTGGTTTAAACCTTTAACAGAACAGACATTCAGTGCACAGAAACCAGTATGAAAATGGCTCAAACTGGTTTGAGAAAAACCTGGTTGATGTAGTAGCAGACTAAACTGATTTGGGTCAAACTGGTTTATGCAATGTCTGTCCCAGACCCCTTGCTGGTTTCACATAAACCAGACTCCCCCAGCATCCCGGCATGCTCTCTGGGATGGGTGGGGCTCTCTGCTCCACAGAAGGGCTGTCCCCACCCTTCTGCTGTCTAGCTGGAGCAAGGACCAGCCCTAAGGGAGACACGGCTGGCATGGCCCCATTAGGCGAAGTGGTCAGGGAGGGGGTTCATTCTTCCCTCCTTCCCCTCTTGCTCCAGTGCAGCCCGGGTCAGCCTGTCTGCCGCGGAGGGGGCTGCAGCAGTGGCCCTTGGAGCTGGTAGACCCCAGCTGCAGGGAAGGGACAGAGGTGGGGGGCGTAGGGATCCCCACACACTCCCCCATGGCATGCAGCCCGCACTGCCTGGCAGGAGCAGCAGGAAGGGAAGGGAAGGGAAGCCAGGGTGCTCATGCCCCTAGCAGGCGTGGCTCCTGCCGGGGCTGCGCAGGGGGAGGGAGCGGAGCCGGCCTTACCCCTGTGGCTCTGCTCCTTGAGCCTGCAGCTCCAGCACTTGCAGCGCGGGAAGCCCCTCGCTGGAGCCGGCTGCTTCCCCCACTCCCCACTGCGCAGGTCCCTGCACTGCCGGGAGCGGAGGGAGCCATGCGGAGTCCAGCGTGGGGCTTCCCCTCCGCCAGTGGTATGCAGCGCCGAGCCCCCCAGCACCAAGTAGGGTCCCCCTCCCAGTCCTGCATGGATGGGGGAGAGGGAGGAGGGGGAAGAGTTCCCCTCGGGCTGGGCAGCCCTGTGTGCTCCGGGCTGTTAGGGAGCCGCTGGAGCCAGGCCATGCCGCCCCCACCCCAGTTAAGCTTCCCTGTGGAAGGGAGGGCTGCTCTAGTCCCCCCGGTTTTTTGGCTTGAGCCACTGCAGGCATGTGCCGAATGTCTATCCACTTGCAAACCAGTTCACTCTCTGCAGTTTTCACTAACCTGCAAAGACTGAATCAATTCAGGCTCAGGCTTTTTGAATGTCTGTCCCTAGCCAGGTTGATTGCTTCTGAGCACAGTGCAAAATCCCTTTTCTGTGGGAGTGTGTGTTTATGTATAAAGGCTGTGGAGGAAAGTCTGTGTTGAAATGGATATATTTATAATCAGCCCTTTCATTAGGCTGTGATTTTTAGTTTATGGAATAGGTGTCATTAAATGAGAGCCTATATGAGTATTTTGAAAAATCAACAACCTGAAGGCAGAAATAGATGCATGCTCTTTCTGCAGAAATATAGGTTCAGAATTTCAGATGCCTCAGACATCAGAGATCAATGATGCCTGGATCTTCGGTTTAATTTCAGGACCAGTATCTCAACTTGGTTTGAATTGTTTTTAGGAAGAAAAAACATATCACATAATATTGACATAGTGACATTTGTTTTATATACATGTTGCAGGCCAGAGCATGCAAGTCACAGGTAGAGAGCACAGATTTCTAATTATTATGTATGTGGTACCCATAGTTTATGTCATGCTGTTTTCAGACAGCTGAAAACAGTTTACAGCTTGAAAGAATTTTCATCTTAAGGCATATAAAAGATACCGTTGAGACTTGAGAGAAAGTGTGGCTTCCTCGGGGATATATAGCCATGCTACAAATTTGCATTTCAGAAGTTACAAGCTACACAGACAGTTATTTGCTTAGCAGTTTCTTTAGATTCAAGAGAGCATTTTCTTTTTCATTGTCACAGATTTCTTGCACATCAAAGAGAAACTACAATGACATTCAGATGCAAGACTGAGATTTGCTAAGGAAAGCTCTCATTCTGTAATTATAAGTGTTTGAGAGATGATTCTGCAGGCTAAATTTTCAAAGCGCTGTACTTAAATAATATGAAAAACATACAGGCCCTCCCTTATTTAGGCTGTGTTTTACTATGCTATGTTATTTAAAATGAACTACTGTCATAGCATGGACTTCCCCACCAAGTACACAGGTGGCAGAAAAATAATTCATTCTTAATATAGTTACAAGTGAAACAAAAGTGTTAGTTATCCTTTTACCCTTCACAGAAAACCTGCATGGGTGAGAGATTTAATTTGCCTTCATGGTTTTGTTTCAGCAGTCACTCATTTGCAGTGTTTTTGTGTGGATGATCTAGGGCCAAATTGTCTATTGGGGAGAATGAACTCAGCTCCAGACAATATAGTTTCACTCATTTCCACCAGCAGAAGTTTGGCCCTTTCTGTCCGTCACAAAAACATGAATGAGATACTCAGAGAAGCATTAATTTAAACACTGAAGCATTCATTTCAGAAGTAGCACTTGTATATTCTGTATGGTGGGATTCACTTCCCTCAATTTTTAGTTCTAATTCTTCCCCCTCACCCCAAATCCAATCACTGGTTTAGTCTCCCTGTCTATTTGACTTTGGAAATGAAACACCCCTTTTTACTTTGTACAAATGTTTCTCCCTTTCTTGTTTTCCTCTTGCCGGTCACCTCCATGCCCTCCCTTGCAGCCCCGTTGCTAACTTTTTTACAAGACCCTAGACATACAAGTACCCTTTCCTTCACTGGGACTTTACTTACAATTGTTCCTTTGCAGTTCCGACTTCCTGCACCCAGTTACTCCTCCTCCTCCTCCTCCTCATGTGATCAGACTCCCACACCACACCTCCTTCCCATTTATTATCTTTTAAAACACAATGCTGAAGGGATCCACTGCCTTTGAATGTGCTGTGAGTGGTGAAGAGTTCAAACTGCCTATTAAGCAGAAAATCATC